AACTGTTGCGTGACGTGTTGTAAAGCATCCGTCGAATCAGACGTGTCTTCTACGTCGATCTCCGACATTTCGGTATCGGTGTATTGCTTTAAAGAACTCGATTCTCTCTTTTCCAAGTTATGCGATGCTTGCGCAATGATATCTTTCACGAAAGCCTCTTCGTTAGATGTGCTATATCTCATTTCGTTGGAACCGTTGGTACTGTTATCCAGAATGGATTGCAACGTATTCTCTAAAGGTGGAATATCGAAAAATTGACTGGGCACGTTTCCCTCTGATCGTTTTCGTTCGTGTATCAAGCTATTTTTTGTCGTTAAAGAAAACAAATTGGTATTGCTATCGTTCGAGCCGGGTTTATACAAGAAGCTACTAGCCGTGTTTGGCGAGAAAAGATTCGAGACGCTACTAGGTCCACCATATTTAAATTGTGATGTAGAACTGCTCTTCCAGGCATTGTGGGTGAACTTCAAATCTAGCGTACTTTTTTTGTAATCGATAAAATTGTCCGATTTCGTTAAGGGATAATTCTTGAAGTCGGAACTGCTCTTTTCTGCGCTTAGACGTCTTGTAAAACTTTTAATGCCAGACGTGGATTGATATAAAGCGGTTGGAGATTCATAGGTGTGTCCGCTACCATTTTTAGAATCTTTGGTGGATGTTAAGGAGTGCAGAGAGGTTTTATGCTTTGAGGGGGATGATTTTAACGCTTGTGAATCGTATAAGGGCATGTGAATAGATGGAGTATGGACCTGATAAATATAATCGCTGTCGGTTTTTAACGAGGAGAAACTCTGTTGATGAGGCAGCGACACCGTGTCTTCGTCCATTGCATCGTCCACTTGTGCCTTGTACGAGAACATTATCGAAGGTTGTGAAACCCTGTAACAAAATTTCTTGTTTGTTCTTTGTACGTAAATTTCAAGGATAAACGATTGTTTCTAGACTTGATAACTTACCCAAAGAATTCGGACAGGAATGTATGATAAACCAAAGGTGTAAAAAGGGTCAAATAAACCGCTGCGGTAAAATCCACGACACATAATCCTATGGGATTTTGCGTGTAATTTAAGAAGCCTGCTCCGATTGATTGTACTAAATCTAGCATGGCTAATGTACCGGTGTAAACGTAAAAACTTTTTCTTGCTGTAACAAAAGATAGCGTGTAACGTGTAAATTAATAGCGTTAAAAGCGTTAAAAGGTTGACAAGTAAGTTGATCAACTTACTTGGAAGGGTTAAACGGTCTCGTAACCGTGTCCATGGCAGTATTAATATAAAAAGATATATCTGTAACAAAATTATAATAAAGGCTAGAATTGCTCATAATCAACGTATGTTTAATTATACGATAAATAACGAAGTTTAATCATTGTAAATTTACCATTGTAAAAACAAGACTGCTGCAAAACCAAAACATCATACCCCCATGACCAAACACGTAAAAATCTCTACTGGGAATATGGAATGTATCGTCTGGTATAACTAATTCCAAAGTTCCTTGAGTTATGGTAAAAGCCAATGCTATTAACGATGTAGCAAGTAATACCCTACGAATACTTGAGCGACTATCCAAATGTCCTACAAATAAACAATTATTTAGCGAATTTTTAATAAGCAGTTTTAAATAAAAAAAAGTTCAAAATTAACTCACCAAAAGCTAAACCAAATATAACCACGCTCATCTCTGTGGACAACAGAAAAAATCTTACTGTTACCCACAATATTTTGTCTGCTTTGCCACCAACAGTGGCTGCTGCATTTACAGTCATTGAAACAATACATCTTATTACTGAAATCACTACATTACAAATGACAAGTCCATAAAATGCTAAAAATATTGGACTACTCGTTGCTCGTAATTTAAGCCGTGCTCTATTAAATCTCACTGCGATAAATAAAAGAAACAAGAGATTTGGTATCAATATGACAATATCCCATATTCGTACTCTGGAAAATAAAAGAATAAATTGGATCAGAAAGGTCTATATAAAGCATTGCAAAATCAATGTTTACCTTGAATCTTTGATTTCTTTATATAAGATAAACTTGCAAAAGTGTTCTTCATCGTTCATCGGCGAACTAACATTAGGAATCATTGTACTGCTCAAATCATACGTATGCAACCAACTTTCAGATACTTCTTCACGTACTGCACCATACATATTTCTCGTTTTCTTGTATATCTTATATTTAAATCATGTCATCTTTCACTGGCGAACAAACAAATAACGACATATATCACTCTAACGTAAATTAATATTAACAACATAAAAATGCAATACGCTTACGAAATTATACAATCCTTGTTCAATAAAAGGAAAAAAATATAAGCTAAATTATCTATACCAATCGAACACTTAAACAAACTATTGCAAAGCATCATTCGCTAATTAAAGTGACATAATAAACATAACCTAAAATACTTGGCAGTATTCCCAAGTGACGACCTTCAAACTATTAGAAAGCAATGACCGATTCAGACAATGATATATAAACATTAAATCAACTACAAACTTATTCCCGCGAAATAAATGCGAATTCTCATTGTTTAATCGGCGAAAAATCGATAAATGGCAAATCCTATTGTACATCTGTCAAATTGACATAACGCTACTGTGATAAATCGCGGGGAATTCTATCGTTCTAATTGGTTCATGCTAATTAAATAAACGGGTATAATTTACGCGACTTACCTATTAGGTATATCTATAAAATCACCGATCTCATCTTCTTCGTGCAAAAAAAATTGTAACTCGCCTTTTGATTCGCACCTTCTTCAACGTTTTGTTTGTTGCAAGTATATCGCGCAGTTTACTTTTTCCCCTGATCGCCCAATTATATGTCCGTTCGCCTTATTCGTGCACGTTCATCCGAATCAATTGTCATTTTGCTATGAAATCCCAGTGTCCATTCTGTCGATCAGCTTCACGTTGATCAGTCTGTTCCTCTCTTTTTTTCGCTCACAGAAACGCCACACCGAGCCACCAAAGAGCGTATACTTGATAACCAGTAAGATGAACGCGTAACGAAGTGCGCGTGACTGCGTATTACGTACTTTACCGTTTGTATCAAATATCCGATTGCACGAGGAGAACGACGATAAACCAACGAAAAAACGTGTTTCCAGGTGACGCCACAATTTATCGCCTATCATAAAGGCTACACTATATCTTTTACACGCGAAATAACGACTTTCCAACTATGCAGTTGCTTAGATTATGAAAGGTTTCCTCGCTTCGCGGACGCTTTCACTGAATCATTACATATTACAACGATGCGAGCCAATTAGATAGGTTAGGTGTTGAGAGAAAAATACACGGAATGGCCGCGAATCGCTGTTAAACCGGGAAATACGAAGCTTCGCGCTCTATTTGTTATTACGTACGAACCTACGCTCTGTTTAGACTTTTTCGAACAGACGCGATTACGACAGACGTGAAAGTAAGTAGATTGGTTTTTTTCGTGGTTCGGCGATTGAAAAGGAACGGGTATTATACGGATGTTGTTTGATAATTTTTATTGAATAAACAATGACTGTCAATTATTCAAGCGATCTGTTAAAAAATGTTCATCAGAATATTCTTCTACCGGAAATTGGCCAAAGTTTCTTGGTTAAAGGAGATTACGAATATTGGCATTATTGTTGCGATGGTTTTAACGATAAGGTGTGTAATGGTTGTCTCTTTGTTAGATTAACTATGTATAGAAAAAAAAAGAAAAAAGAGAAAAAAAATGATGAAATGTTGAATTTAGGTTGGGGTTGTGGATATAGGACATTGCAAACAATATGTTCGTGGATTATTGGGAACGGAAACTTGGAACAATCCGTTCCAAGTATCAGACGTATACAGGAAGTGCTCGTCTCGCTGAACGACAAGGAACAATCATTTATTGGATCGAGGGAATGGATAGGTAGTTTCGAAGTAAGTCTATTTTCTGAACAAATATCAGTATTTTCTTGTATAATTAAATTATTATTATTATTATTATTATTATTATTATTATTATTATTATAATATAGAGATTTATAACCTAAAATTTGTTACTTATCAATTTATTAATACTAATTAATAAATTACATATTATCACGCAAGAAAATCTTGACGAACACTTTAAAGCAATAAATATTTTTATATTGGATCAAAATGTTTTATGTAAGAATAATATGAAAATAAGAAGAAAATTTATTTACCCGATATATTTATCAATTATACGTATATTTGATTTATCATTTTTATTTGTGGATACTAATTAAAAAAATAATAAGTATTTTACGTTATATCATTACATATACACGAATTTTTCTTTTTTTTTTTACTAGTAGTCAATTTCTGATATACTTATGGTATACTATGCATTGGAAATCATTAATTTCTACAAAGTTTATTTTCAACGCTTTAATCAAAACAGCGATAACCCAAGAATGTTAAACATTCGCGATATGCTTTTGATACAAACAATGAATACCCTTCTGTGAAATATGATAGAAGCAAACAAATTGATTCGAAGTATGAATTCCGTAGGTATGTCTCGTGTTAAATCATTTGTACGACATTCTCAGTAAAATCGTGCATATTCCAAATGGTAAAGCTTTGCGAGACCATATTCCTATCATCAAGAAACATTTTGAGGAATTTGGTAGTCCAATCATGATGGGCGGAGACAAGGATTGTTCCAGCAAATGCGTTTTAGGAGTCCATGAAGGGTCCAACAATACATATTTTTTAGTCTTGGATCCACATTTTATCGGCAGAGCACGAACGACCGAACAATTGGAAAATTATCATTGGATAAAATGGCAAAATTTGAATAATTTTATCGATAGTTCTTTTTATAATCTATGTTTGCCTCAAGTCAAGTTTATAAGTAGAAATAATAAATAATCTTCAAGCATATGTATTATATATGTATATATTTTCTTGTTGTATATGAAATTGGATAAATGTAATACAATGGAGGATATTTTTAGAAAAAAATTTTTTTTTAATATTATTAGAAGGATGTCTACTGTACATGACGTCTTTATATTGTTTTCATTGTAGAAAGAAAAAGTAATTATTATCACTGTAATCCTAATCGTTTAATCGGTATTTAATATCAAACAAACTCCTTGCAATACCCAATGAGAGATATGTTCCGCGGTGGCAAGATTTGCTTCAAAAACTAAACCTACTCCCATAGCATCTCTTCTATTAGACGTGGTATATACTGGTGTTCTAAAAGTATTCTGTAATAAAATCGTATGTATTAATTAATCTAAACAATTTCGACCGATCATATTCGAATTGACTGTTAAAATTAATTCATGCCTGAAGCCTGAGTCTATGAGCCTCGATTGGAATGATGATTAATATCGGTAATTCTTCTATCAAGATTTTCGGGAACGATCTTTTCAAGCATTCTTCATTTATATCCCATCTGGCTCCTTCCAAATATAATCCACTTACGTAGCAACCCTGTATTATAATTAGGAATTGTTTATAAAACGACGAAAAAATCAGTATCCAAATATATATATTTTTTTTAATCAAATTAATAAATTTGCATTACCTGATCAGGTTTATCTTCTATGTATTCAGGTCTAGTATATTTCGACACTGCCGTGTACATAACAGAACGATCCAAAGACCAACTGTTTCTATGACAGGCCATTTGCACAAGAGCTGCCAAATAAGTTTCTGGGATGTGTAGGCCGGCTAACCAGAGAACTACGGGTTCGCCCGAAGTAATCTAGTAATATTTAAAAAAAAAAAAAGAAGAAATTCGAATTATGTGAATTCTAAGTTAACATCTTACCCAACTATTATATTGTTGTATCCTCTTCTCAAAGTGTTCTACCCATCCAGCTAATGTTTTTTTTGTGTCTGGTGCTAGCATGGCCCATTGCATTGGTAATACACCGTTATATAACGCTGTAGCTATACTTTCAAGAGTCATGTCCATTCCGATTTCTCCAGCGATAGCCTAACAATGTGTAAAAATATTCGATTAAAGTATTTGAAAATTATTATTTGAATAAAGCAGTTCGTTTTATATCGATACATACTTTCCTCAGTTGAATCAACGATCTTTTCATCATCCTGATCAGTTTATTAAATCTGTCCAATTCTTGAAGAAGAACGATCGAGATTGGCGTTATAGTTGGTCCAAAACTTTTTCTCACTTTATTAATGTCATATTCGGCAGGAATTTTATCCAGTATATCTTTTGCAAGATTATCGATAAATTCGTCTTTGCTTATTCCAGTTGCGCTAACTTCTAAATAAGAAAATAATTTTTTTCGATTTTTAATTTGAATAGAAAAACATAATAACAAATTTATCGTTACGAATCGATTATTCCTATTATAAAAAGAGTAAGCTCATTTTACTTACCAGTTTGGGGCTGCAGTTCTATAAGATTGATCCACATTTCTTTCGCGGCGTGAGTGAAATAACCAATTTCGGCATTTGGATGCAATCCAAACACATCTGGAGTATTGACAAGTGGCAGTTGATCGATGAACGCGAGATAATCATCATAATTCCCTTCTGGTGGTATCACGTAATCGAATTCTTCGTCCACATAAAAGTGGAAGGGCTGAAAACTGTCGAAAAGAAAGTCTCCAAAATATTCGTCCATATAAGTCTCGGATACTCGACGATCGTAGCAATCTATCACTCGTCCACCGTACATTACCTACGTTATTATTTCGTGGAAATTTCAATTTTCCAAGTTAGAACTTAAGTTATCAAAAGTTATTTACGTACTTCACCGATCAAATACTTTAAACTGTTCCAAGGGAGTTTGGTATCATTCGTTTGAATCGCTTTAGTTAAATACGTGTCCAGAATAATAGTGGACACATTGAAATCCGACTCATTGAAATCATAATTTATATTCCAACCAATCTTGTCGTACCTCCTTCTTTCCTAATTGATCACGATTTTAAAAACAATAAATTCATCATAATATATAATATATACTTTAATGTAAATTGTAGTCTAACTCACTTGAACGACCGCATGATAGAAAGCCAACACATAAATTATATGCTTGTAAGCGGGATGAGTGCAACTTTCCAGCACTTGTGGCCTCATTTTTAAATAGGTACTTTCGAGATTCAATTTCAATCCACTGGGTGGTTCCGTGACCACTAAGTTGAAAATTTTGTTTAAAATTCTTTCACTCGGAAGAAATTGCAGGCAACCTGTTCCGATCTGTACCTTTCAAAGATTGTTGCAATATTCCAATAGGAAAATTGGGAGTTGGATCGGTGGTGAGCCACAAACGAAAATCTGGATGAGGCTTTCCGATGTTCTCCAACAATTTTTCCAAATCTTTGGTGAAACTCAAGAGTAGATGGCAATTTTGCAACATGAGCCATTGTCCTCTAACCACGGCACCCTCTAGCAATTCTTTTGCGGTCTGAAAAGCAAATGATATCACGTTACGAATCTTTTTTTCCTACCGATTACGAATAATTTGATCAAACGTTAACAAAGGACAACGATGTACAGTTTCCTGGCCCTGGCCAAGGGATAAATGTTTAAATCTTCCACCGCCACAACCGTATTTGTCCGCCAATTTCATTAATTCCGAGGTTGGATCGGATCCAGGGCTTAGGATGAAAACGATAGGCATCGTAGGTGTGCTCTGCTCGAAGATTAACTCGAAACTAATGTGTGGAGGGGTGATGTATTCTTCTCCCATGATCTCGGTGATGTAATTGACGATGCTTCGATAAACTCGATCGACGCGAAAACATCTCATTAACATGAGTTTCTCAAAAGGACTTAACTTGTTGGAATAATCTAGGGGAAATTCCGCAGATTCTGGGGAATCCATGTCGTACCACTGAAAGATTAACATTTATTTTTTAAGAGAATTAATGCAAAATATTTTTCGAACTAATATCTCGAAAAATTTGATTTCCACTTACCGTTTGCCATTGATCCATATGGATACCAAGTTCGTCCGCGACATTTGCAAAATTTTCTGGGAAATCGGTACTCAATTTCAACAAATCGGCCCATCCAGTCGCTGGTAACCATTCTGTAGGATTAACCTTAGGCGCCTTCTCCAAACTGATACATCCTTTGATAAAAAATTCCAATTGTTGTTGGCTCACGTTACTTATACTTTGTTCCAATTTTGTGCAAATTTGGAATGAGAACAATAATTTATGCTTCTCAAAGATTCCCGTGCATCCGTAATCGTAAACATTTTTCGTCAACATTGGGATGATATTCTGCAGACGGCGTTGCAACGTCGGATCCGGAAGTGCTTTCCTCAACGAATAAATAAACACCTCCACGTAACTGATCAAAGAGTATTGATACATCGAGTTAACCGTGGCCATATCCGCGAGAACAAAGAAGAGTATCGCTCCTCTTTGAGCTACCGATCGATAACCATCTCGAAGCTTGTTCACATCAATGGCTGTAACTTCGGCGAGGTACAATTTTCTCATCACCTCCTCGGCGCTGGCTTTCGTATTTTCCAAAGTTTCGATCAGCTCGATATTATCCAACATGTTTCCCGTGTTCGTTGCTATTTCCAGAAGTAAACTGTCTTCTAATTGTTGAAGAAGATTCTTGTTTTCGCTGGTCTCGGCGATCAGTGATTCGCGTTGCTCCTCGATGTCTGGCCTCTCTGTTCGAACGACCACCGACAATAATTGGTCTTCCAGGCCCTGTAATTTTTTAATTCGATTTTTCATTCGATTCATACGCGTTTTTTTTTTATTTTTGAATAAATTTGGGAAGAAAATTGGAGAACGAACCCCTAAAGTCACCATATAATTGATCACTGTTGCCTTGGAGTATACCGCAGGATCGAATATAGGATTCGACATCTTGGTGGTAAGGTACATTCGAAATTTCGGATCGTAATCCACTTCTTTATCACCAAGAAGGACGAACGATCTACCTGCTACGGCTATGATGAAAATTATTTTATCGATCATTATTTGTATTTATCAAGTGAAAACGAAATTAAAGAATATAAGATATAAACGTACTCTGTATGTTCTTGGATAGGACGTTATCCAACACGGGATCGATCTCATCGACATCTTGGAAGAGAATCGGTAGACCATATTTTATCGCCAGTTCCACCTGTTTCAGGAAATCTGGATCGGTAAATGATAGAATTTTCAAATGCTTGTGCTCCTTTTTTTTGATCCAATTCAGAGCTTGTTGCTGAGGATCGATGCAAACGGGGAATCTCGATGCTCTCAAGGTCAGAATTCCATTTTGTACGGATAGCTCGTCCGGTGGTAGACCCTCGGATGTCCATCTTGAACAAATTTTCGCTTCTTTAGAATTTTCTATTTTCCGTTTTATTTGTAGAATTCGTGATATTTTTCTTGAATAAGAGAAAACGAATAAGAAATAAATAAATATCTTACTTGCTAATTTCAACGTCGTCAGTCAATTCCGTTTGAATCTTGTACGTGTCCATGAAAGGGATCTCTTTACTCACTATACTGTTCCACCAATCCTCGTATACCATTTGATTTCTGTATTCGTACGAGAATGGGCCGCAATAAGCGAGAAATCCAGCGGAAAGAAGACAATTTCCAATGATCTTCTCTATCTGAACGTGCAGATCCTCCAAATCCTTTTTCCATCGCTCGTTTTCAGAGGACAATCCGCTGATCAACTTGTCGGCGGCTATCAAACGTCTCTGAAGCAGATCGGTCTCCTCCTGCAACTTTTGCCTTTCATCCATAGCTTTCTCGTATTTCGCGTTTAAGTCTGTGATGGTTTTTTCCAGCCTTCGTAATTCTCGTTCCTCCTTTTCCAAAGCTTTTCGAGCTCGTTCCGATTCGGCCTCCAATTCTTTAACTCTGTCTATCTTTGGTTTAACCTTAAGCAAGAAAATGTCGAAGATTTTAACTGGCGTCAAAGATTTTATAATTATTTATCGGGGAAACAAATAAAAGTATATAACCATAAAGCAACGATCAAGGGGTCAGATTAAAGAAGATACCTCTCTGAAAACGGCACAGTAATCCAGCACAGCGAGCACGAATCTGTACAAACCGTATCCCGCTTTGCTGATGTACTGCATCTGATCCAATTTCGTGGTCTTCTTCAGATGCGCTTTGACAGCTTGCTGCTGCTTCAAAGTGATCTTGTCGCAATTCATCTCTTGCAATTGTCTTAGAAACGCTGGATCGCTCATCATTGCTTTCGCACTCTTCCAAGAGATTTCTTTCACGCCTCGCAGTATCGCCACGCATTCTGAGACGATTTGTACGGGTTCAGGCGGCGTTGCAAACGATCTAGATCGAGTTGTCATTGTCATTTATTTAAATTCTTTAATGAATAATTCGTAAAAGAAACGAAAGAAGAAGAAAGGAAAGTAACAGACCTTATTTCGGTGATGTCCGCTTTATCGAGTTCCCCAAGGGCCAATCGGGCCGCGTCTAAGGCAGGTTGCGCTTCGGCCAATGCTTCTTTGGCCTCCGTCTCTTCCTTGGTAATGATCTTCCTCTGTACTTCTATCGCCTGTCTCTCCTTCTCGCTGAACTGCTTTTTCTCCATCGCGATATCCGTACTTTCTCCTATAGAAGCCAACAATTGCTCGCAATTCCTCGTCTGGTCGGCTACTTTTACTCTTTGCACGGCTAGAATCTCGTTTAACTCGTTCAAAGTCGTCGAAGCCTCGGCAATTTTTTGCAGACCTTTAAAAGTTCGTTCGGAAAAAGCGCAATTCTTTTTCTTTTTTTTTTTTTTTATCCTTCGAATCCCTCTTTTCTCTTTTTCTACCAACCTCCAGAAAGTCGATTGCATTGCGAATTTATGTAATTTTTCGTTTCCACCAAAAGACGCAGAAAAATATTTATAAAATCTAGGTAATGTTTAGGCGTCACGTAGTTTCTTCGCCGCAATTTTAGTTGAAAATCCACCGTGTACTCGCAGACGGTTCTATGAGTGAGCACCATGTGCTCCACTATAACATCTCTGAAATTTTCCTGTACGTTTGGATTCTGAAACGAATACAAAGGTAATTCAATCGGATAACGGAATGAATAATTTGTATAAATCGAATCGAGAGATAATTACATCGCTAAGAGTGACATTAGCCACGGAAATCAATGCTTGTTCCGGCCAAGGGAACATCCAGTCTATGGTGGTACTGCTAACGAGGCCAGGATAACTTCGACATCTCATCCTTAACAGATCTCCCGATGGACTCATCGAAAGCGCTATTCGTAAATTTTCAAGGCTCATTTTCACGAAATACGACCATACGTTTTCTCTGAAAGATATAATAATTCTTATCGAACGAACAACCATATCGAACATAAAAATTCCAGATTAAAAATTCGAACTTGGTGACGCCAAAGCCAGCCTCTATCGCCTGATTCCTGCAAGCATGAATTATTTCGTCCTTCTCCTCGTCGGTGAACAAAGCTGGTACCACCCCGGTCAGCAACATGTTGTTCACCAGCTCCAAGAAACTTTCATCGATAATGTGAGCGGAGGTGAATAAAAACACGATCTTCTTGTTATCCACACCAACCATGTTGTACAAATTCTTCATGTCCTCGCGAAACGCGGGCTCGTTGTAGCCTCGAGCGAGGCTAATTTGAAACGTTTGAAAGCCTGCCGCGTACCCTGCCAATTTGATCACCGACTTCTTCCCGCTTCCGCCTATACCGATCACTAGAACGTGGCCTTTGTGCATCCTGAGGGCACGGTGTATCCTGGTCAGATGCTCGAGCGCGTCGTTGAAAAGGACCATGTGCAATTTGCTCACGTTTCTTTCATTGTAATCCTCGTAAATCTGAAAAGTGTTTTTCGTTTCATTTTATTTATATTTTTAATTTGGCCCGACGTTTAAATATCAGGAGGAAAAAGTGAATCGTGAACCTCCAAGAACAAACTGTAGACAGCCTCGTAATCCAACAGATCTTCGTAAAATCTTGGTTCGTCCTCGTTAATCGCGTTTCGAAAATCACCGAACAGCAACGGATCCCTCATCACGTATTCGATCACTTTGCGATCCTCTTCCCAACTTTCTTCGATCTTTTTCTTCATATGATCGGTTACGATCTTCGTATCCTGTGATCAGAAAATTATAAATAAACATGTAAATTTTCGTGTTTATCGATACTTACGGTTTCGTTTATCAAACGATCGCATATAATTCTGGTGAACTCGTTTCTCCAAAGTCTAACGATCTGTTTCACCGTTGACAAATAATCGGGATGGGATTGAAGAAGACCCGCCATGATCCTCGACAAATCTCTCATATTGAAAATATAATGGAATCTGTTCGGTGTTGGTAATAGCTCGGCCAAAACTATCTGGAAGAGAATCATTGTACGAATCGAATCTTAATTTTTAAGAAGAGATCGAGGCCGAGAAATACCTTATAAAGTTGCAAAGTGATTTCAACTAAAGTTTTCGCGATTTCTTGCACTTCTTCTGAAAATATCGTCAGATGCCCGACCAGAATACTTCTGTAGATGTAATCGAGGGTCTCGTCCGCGGGAAATACAACATTGTAGATGGAGAACATGGAGATGAATCTTGGATCCACTTCGTTCCTTCCTCCACCGGTTTTCCCATCGCTGCCAAATAACCTGTTACCGGGGAAAATAATTATCTCGAGTATTCGAAGGATCGATTAATCTTGATCTTGAATGCAAACTTACACATGTCTTTCATGTACATCAAGGAAAGATCCTTTCCACGATCGTAAAAGCCACCTTTCTCGAATAAAAATTTGAGAAAAGCGATTGGTTGTTGGGTACCGTAAGTGTCCACCACTGGCATGTTCATGTCGTCGATGAAGATCAACAATTTTTTACCAGGAGGTGGCCCGTAAATTTCTCTCGTTCTCTTCTCCACGACAGCCTCTATGTTTCTTTGCACGTCCATCGAGGTCGTTCTCGACGAGAAATTTATCATGAGTTGATTCTGATCGAATTATATCGTGAAAAATTGAAACGTACTCGTATAAATTTAGTATTAAAACGAATTTTTGGTAATTAAAAAATTTGAAAATTTACGTATTTTTCGGTGCTCAAGTGTCGAAGAAACTCGTGAATGATAGCAGTTTTCGAGGTGCCAGTCTCTCCGACCAAAAGTGCTGGTCGTTCTCGTTCGTTCATTATTTGAACGAACCACATAGTTCTCAAAGTGTCTATAGTAGGAACCAAGATGTCGGAAAAATGTTTCTTCCTGTCGTGTATATATTCGGGAACTTTTAACTTCCATGGGACCCAGATATTTTCTTTCAAGTCCAAAAAGTAATCGTACAACAATTTATTCGTCACGGGAATGTATCCTGTGTCGAATTATTCATCTTCGAATTTATATCAAGTTTTTCTTCATCGATTCAAGTTTTTATGTATCGATCAACAATTTTTTCATTTCTCTATTATATTTATCTTATCAACTTACGCACGGTAGCTGGTTTTTCAATGGTATCCTGTATAAGCATGAAACCGCAAGTTTTCTTTATATAATCGTCGAACTCGGGTCTATTTTCTACGACTAGAGACGCTCCTAAGGACCAATACAAAGCTTGAATGTACATTGCTTCGAAAATTTCCTCTCTGGAATATTGTGGTTCTATCTTTATTTCTTCGTCTTCGTCAACTTTGAGAAGAGAGGCCAATTCAGTGTCCAAAAGCACGAGAAGAGCATCGAACACGTGGCAAAGTTGTACTACCTAAATAAACGAGCAACTGTCTCTCGTGTATAATTGTATAATAAATATTTCTTGTTCGATCTTTCAATTGCAATTAAAATCCATTATCATGGTCAAAGTTAAATGATAAAAATTCCTTATATTAGGTTGTATCACGTGAAATTTTAAAATGACAATTGCGACTTATAAACTCTACTTAACCTATATTTCGCTTAACATAATTTGACGTTGTCCTCTTATATTTTCTTCGTGTAGATAAATTCTTTTTTGTATTAGTTCAACTGTTTTTTAAGAAGTGAACAATATGGTGTTATCGAAAGAATTTAGAATTCCTGTATACGAGTTTAAGTTAGACTACAGTGAAGCATATTAAATATTAGGTTAGCTTTTGGAGAAAATTTTATCGATGAGAGGACAATTCGTTCGATGGTGGTTTCAAAAATTTAAATCTTGAAACGAGATAGATCAAAATTCATATTAAACAAGGATGAAAGAAAGTGAAAAAATTGGAAAAGGAGAATCAAAAGTTTGGAAATGTTCTTATCGCATAAAGCTCGAAACCGTAGAATTTTTGAATAAAATTATAACCTGTGATGAAAAATGGCTACTATACGATAATGCTAATAAAAATCCTAAAAAAAAATGCCGAAATCATTATTATGATCGAAAAAAGTATGGTAGTTTGTAAAAAAAAATAATTTCATCTTTTCTGAAACAAAGAGATACAATAACAGCAGCATCCTATTATCAAGAAATTGATTAAGAAACAAGCCGCATTAGTTGATGGACCTATTTTTCTACATGACAACGTTCGATTGCATCGCAAACTACTGTACAAAAATTAATTGAATCGAAATATGAAATCTTAATGCATTCACCACATTCACCAGATATTTCATCAATCGATTGTCATTTGTTTTGCTCATTCACAGTTGTTTTTAAAAAATAAAATATTCGACTCTCGAGAAGAGTAACTGCAACATTTAAAAAATTTCTTCACGCTAAAACCATGAAGTTTTATAAAAATATCAGTTGGAATCTCGTTGAGAAAAGATCATTAAAGTTAATGGCTCATATTTTGATCGAATAAAAATTATGGTTTTGAAAAAACATTGTCTTTCTTTCGACTAAAACAAAAACGGCAATTTCACGTGATACGATCTAATAAATCAGGAATATCCAGATTAAGCAATTTTTTCTTTGATAATCCTCATAAGAGTTGTCGAACTAATTAACGTACGAACGTCTAATCGATACCATGTTCAATCCGGTTTGCGGTATGATCATTTTAAGCGGTTTGAGCTGCTGCAATCCGAACATTCCATCTATAATGTAGGTAATCGCTCCATCCACGTATTTCTCGAACATCGAGGTCAACGTCTCCCGATCCGATTCGCTCTTACTGCGTATCCATTTGTCCATGTAAGGCTGATAGCCCAGGTTCTTCGGATCCACGTACACCATACCTGCCCTGGACACGGTGGCTGGTGAGGCGTACTGCAAGTCGCCTACCTTTTGCCAAAAATAATGCGTGAAAATAACCGTTCGATCCGCGAATTAAATCAAAATCGTGTATGGCGATATCCGTGAAAAAAAGGATCGAAAAGTGGATCACCTCGAACAATAGACTGCAATGACCTAGCATTCTGATTCTCTCTTGGTTAGCCAGAGTGAGTAATTTGTTGTCATCCATCACGGAATTCATATTCTCGATCCAGAGGGCGTCCACGTCACCGTCGAACAGAATATATCTTTTCTCGCTTTTGCTTTTGTCGTCCAACGGTTTGTTCACCTCTCGAAAAATTTTGCTCAACAAGCCGTCCGTCCAATCGCGCGTAGTCGGATCCAACACGCCGTACAACTCGTTCACGGTACACGCCTAAAAGTGAAAAAGAGATCATCGATAAATGTTCGATTTTATTTTTTAATCGAGGTTAATCCTAGGGATACCTTCGGGTTCAAGGTGTAGAGTTTGGTAGGCATGCCGAGCCGAGTCTGCGCTTTGCAAAGCGTTTCGATCACGACGGTTTTTCCGCCTCCTGTTGGCCCGATTATCATCGTCGAGTGCCTCGTCATCATCACTTCGTACAATTGAATCACTTTATCGACCTGTTAAATTGGAACATTATTGTCAAGAATAAAAAGCCAGGATAACTCGAATTTCAACTTGGTTTCAGCGATTATTCTTAATTAATCGAGAATTTCTGCCCATCCAATCCCAATTACATTTTCCTCGAAAATAATTACTGGAGAAAGAAACCAAGACCATCAGAAAATTCGATGAAAAACAATAACAACAATATTCAATTAAAATGACTCTTTTTCGTGTAATAACCAAAGTCACGCTTCGAATTATTTTCTTCGAGATAAGTTGATCATCTGTGATAATAATTCCAAGATTAAGAATAATACCTGTTCGGGTAAATGCATATAGCTTTGCTCTTGTATCACGAAATCAACGGCATCGTTAAAATCGGGATAATGAACCCTGGGACAGTCGAGTTCGGGAAACAGGTCGGCTATTAATCCAAGGAAGAGTGGGACGTCGTCGAAGATGAATTTAGGAAGATTCATGTCTCGTAGCGCTCTCATCAGCACCAGATTCTCGGACAAATCGCCGGATGTCCTTTTCAAGTGGCCGGCCATATTGAGCACAGACTTGAGCGCCCTCAGCCCGAAGTCGTAGTGATTCTGCTTGCTCAGTTGCTCGCGTGCCAGTTTGTACAGGACTGTCATTTTCTTGGCCAAAACTTTGGCGGTCAAGAAGCCGGAGCTGAACAATTTGATCTGACAGATCAGCTCGTTATCCGGGATTATGCACACCACGGGTCTGAACAACGCTTTCACGGATTCTGGAAGCTCCGTTCGACCCGCGTATCCCGGATTCATCGTGATGAATATCCCAACTTTCGTGTCGAGCGCTATATCGACGCCTTCGAACTGATTTTCGAGAGATAGATCAGAGACACGATATCTTTCTTTCTTCCTATATTTATAATTGAAATTATTATTTTTTTTTTTAAATTACCGTGAATCTAGACGCTTTCGCTATCAAGGCGGATCGTATGGTCTGAAGCTGCGTGGAGATGACGGACAGCACGGATATGTCGATGCGATTAAATTCGTCGAAGCATCCCCATACGCCACACTGTGCCAGGCCGCCCAGCGTCTTTCCTATCGCCACGTAATCCATACCTTCGCCGCAATTAGTCACAATGCACAATAATCCCAGAGCTTTTGCCAAATCTTTCGTAGTCTCCGTTTTCCCCGTTCCGGCGGGACCTTGTAAGCAGAGGAGAACGATTCTTTTTTTTTTTTTCGCTCAAGATGCGTAGTTATTTTCCAAAGTAATGACATACCCGCGGGCGCGCCTCCTAGATGCATCGACAGGGCTTGCGTGATGGTCAAGTATATTCTATCCGTCAAAGGCGTGACCACGAGTCTCCCGTTCAATCCCATATACTCGTAACCGTATTCGAACACGCCCGTGCATTGGTGGACCCAAACGTTGTCCAGATCGTGAACCCAATAAAATCTTGACAAAAAAAAAAGAAAAGGAAGAAAAAGAAAACGTTCGATCATCGATTCGATTGGCGGGAAAACGGCGTGATCGAACATTTGTTGGACGAACCGTAATTGACTCTCCCATTCGAATTCCGAAGGATCTATGATGCTGTCCCTGACGAAACCTTCCACGATATCCCTCATGTGAACGTCGATCGTCAACACCATGTCGAATTTCTTCCTGTCATTGTCCGTCAACGTGTCGGCACCCATCAGCGTCACCACTTCGTTCAACTGATTGTTCAGCTGCTTCAAATACTGCGGAAACCGAGATCGTGAATCAAAGGATCGAGGAAGAAAAATTACCGAGAGGAGAAAAAAGAGATTACGTTTTTCATCGCCTGCATCTGTCCGTGAGAAATTCTCACGAACACGTCCTCCACCTCGGCGGTCCACCATATTTGATTAGCGCACAGGACCATATTTCCTTGAAATTCGAGCATCCATTCCGTTCTTGGTCTCCTCACCTAGAAGAAAAAAGGAAAAAAACACTTTAGTTTAAGAAACATTTTTCATCATCACTTTCAAATTTCCTCCTCACCTTTCCATAATTGAAGACTGCTTTTTTGGTGAGGTATCGATTCGACCTCTTCATCTCCTCCAAAGCGAGCACCATCCATTCCTCGATATTCCCCTCGGCCAACACCACGTTTCTAAACTCCATCACCTCCTCCTCGGCGGAGATCAACGCTGTCACTATCTCGCGCTCGGTCTCGCTCAGCTCGAACCTGAATTTGTCCAAATTGTCGAACATCTTGCCCACGTGTTCTTGAATGGCGGTCGGTATACCGCTACCGAGGATGTTCAGCAACTCGTCGTCGCTGAGGAACGTGAATCGCGGGAAAACTGCCCGTTTGCTGTTCAAGTAATCCGTCAACGATTTTTGACACTTGTCCAATGCGTTTATCATCGATTCGAACTCTTCGTGTCGACCTGCACGACCAGAATCGATCCATTTTTTTTCTTTTTTTTTTTTTCATCGCGTAAATCGAGCAAGCTTTTTCGATAAGTAATGAGAACAAGACGATAAACGTTTAACCCTTTGCGCTCCAGGCCTTTTTCGCTCGGTCAATCAGACGATTCCCGTACTCGTGAATTAGATGAATTTCTTAACCGACTTAAAACGAATTAACGTATAAAACCTTTATATTTTAATATTTTGTGAAGAATAAAGAAAGAAAATTTGTCGAATATCAAAGTCTATATTGTTGATCTTCTATTTCCTTCTCTCTATTTCTCAACAAACAGAGATAATTTCGTTATTTGTATAATCGTTTTATATAATTACAAAACTCGAAAACTTTGAAAATAATATTTCTATATCGAATGCAGATCACTAATTCTAATTTCAGATATAAAAATATCTAACCACTCGATAGTATATCATTCCATAAGATTATAAACGTATAAAGATCTTAGGAATCCATTCAGGCGAAGCGATATTCAAATAAATCGAACGTAAATAAATATCGAGAGTCGTCGTTGGAGCGCAAAGGGTTGATCTTATTATCTTATTCCCGATTACTTTCGAGATGGCGAGGGAAGGTCACCTTTGACCATGCAACAGTCGAGCACGTTCAACCTCTTGGACGTGTCGATCATGATCTTTTTGAATGATTTGTCGATGTCGTCGAACCTCTTCGCCTCCTCGGGCAATTGCATCCTTATGTCACCGCCCACGAATATACCCTCTAAATACAACCACCTCCTCTGCAATTGCAGCCACAATTCGAGAACCTCGGAGATGGTGTGCATGATCGTCTCCCATTTTTGCACGGTGTCGAGGAACGGGCCGATGAACTGGGAGGCGGCCATCGCGTTCACGTTCATCATGTTGTCCTCCAAAATCTGATTCATCTCGTCCGTCGGACCCAGGATGAATCCGCGGTCCTCGACTCCTGCAAAACCGCCAGATCAATCTCCGTCTTTTTCTTTTTTCCCCCCTCTTCCCCCTCCTCGTCGAAATTTAATTAAATTATTAATTATTCGTCGTAAATGTTACCCTTGTAATGTTTCACCACCGTGAACTCCAACATTTTCCACACCTCGGCCAAATCTTTCAAACCTTTCTCTATCGACAACTCTTTCACCGCGTTCATCACGATCTCCTTGGCTATATCTTGGTATTTTCCCAACTCCATGGCGAACATGTTCTGCAGGGTGAACCTGTCGATCGCAAAATCGATTTATTTAAAAAGAAAGAGAAAGAGAGAGAGAGAGAGAGAAATATTTCGCTTCGTTTCGAGCGGGATTCGTGGAATCGAACTCACCCCTTCAACGTCTCTATCTCTTTTTCCGCCATATTTTATAAAAAGTTTCTATATATATATATATATATATGTATAATGTATTATTAGGTTATTTCATATATTACGATTAGCAGGAATAAAAATTCTGAAAGAAAGAGAGAAAAAAAAAGAAAAAAATTAATTGCCACGTTGTAGGGATAGCACTTGCAATACCACGATATTCAAATTACATTACAAATACGAGGCTGAAAAGAAAACTCTGTTCGTTATTTTTCTTTTTACAAAAAAAAAAAAAAAGAAAAGAAAAAGAATCTAGAACAATCACTCGCAAACACTTTGAAAACACTTTGAAAATGATAACAACACTCCTCCTCCACCCGCTCCCCAACTTTTTTAGTTTTAGTTTCGATCGGTGTCGTCGCACCTCTCCGGGTCCATATCGAAAAATTGTCCAGTCTTGGTCATCAATTGTTTCCAGTGTCTCTCCCTCATCGCCTCGTTCTTCAACTCGATGAACAAAGGCACGGAATTCTTGAAACTCTTCATGTTTGCCTCCAAAGCGTGCCCGATGCTGAGCTCCTTCACGAATTTCGGCAGTCTGCGAAATATCCTGATGAAATGGTCCATACCCTCGATCAACTGTTGGGGATTCAGGTTGACCCAGAGCGTCTGCGCCCACACGTTCCTCATCTCTTTCTGCTCCTTGTACAATTCGAACAACATCTCCATCCCGTCGTAATCCTTCTTCAGCTTCAGGAAAACCGAGTAATCCGTGGCCGGAAGATCGAACAGTATTTCGGATTTGACCAGGCTGCGGTGTTTCTCGTCGTGCCTAGCGATCAATTTCCCGTATTCCTGGAAACAGATTGCATCCAATCATGATTTTGAATTAAAAAGCGAAAGAGTAGAATGATTTTAGTTAAAATTCTATCTTCTTGCAAATCGGATATATAGCAAGAAGAAAAGTATAGAAATTCGTACGACTCACCTCCATCTTGATCAATCCAAGTTCCAGATCGTCGCCCACGCTGCCAGGTCCGTGGGCCTCGAAATCCCTCGCGAATTCCTCGAGCTCTCGAACGAAATCGTATATCTGCTCCTGCGTCATCCCCGAAAATCTGTCGGAGGTGCTCTCGAGGGTCGAGGCTCTGTACAAAGCGCCCAGATACAGCGACTCCCAGTCCCGTTGCAGGTCGTAAGCCGCCTGCTCCTCGTCCTCGGGAAACGATATACCGTGGCTGCGAAATGCTAGGAACGTTTCCTGGAAAAAGATCAACCATGATTTCCTGGGTACATTTCTTAGCCGACTTAAAATGATTTTAATGATTTCAACCCTCTGCACACGTCGCCATCCTAATCCCATTTTATTATTATACGTATAATTATGTATAATATAATTGCATTCTAGAAACTCTTGATTGGCAACCTTCTTAAATGTAAATACGAATGCAAAAGCTAATAAAGTAATTGGCAAGATGGATTCTCGGCCTGTCACGCTATTTTCATCGCCTTCTCTCTATCGTCAACGAGCAGAGAGATAATTTAACGTTATTTAACGACGAGAAATCATTCAATTTCATCAATAAAACTTTGCGAATGCAGTTCGATCACTGTTCTAATTTCAGATAAAAAAAAACCTAAGCATTGGATAGTATTCTACACTTCGTAAGATAAACAGCTTATTCACGTAGCGATATTTAAAAAAAATCGAACGTAAATAAATATTTACTAGATCCAAGCGTCGGCTGAGAGTGCACCATATTGAAAATACCTGGCACATGGTGTAGCAAACTTCCGCTTGGATGGCCATCTTCTTTATGTCCGAGATGGCCTGCATGACGGACGTGAACCGGCTCAGGCCCGTGATCACCAGCTCGACCTCGCTTCGCAGCCCGTCCATTATCACGTGCAATTCGTTCATCTCGTTGACCGTTCGCATCAGCAAAAAATTACCGAGCACTTGTTCCATTCTTTCGCGTGTTGCTCGATACCAAGGAGAAGGGAGCTCAGGTTGATGCTATCGTTTCAAAATTTCGAATTTCGAATTTCTTTCTCACACACACATACACACACACACACACACCTTATGCAATAGAGGTTGTAGGTGGATTCCATTTCCACCAATTCGTCGAGGATGTTGCTGTAGAAGGAGAATTTCTCGTCGTATTGGTGGAGGGTGGGGTCGGTGGCCGCGTACTTTTCGGCGGCAAGATTCTTGTCGAACGACCACAGATTGCTGTACTTCTTCCACCTTTGCAGATAGTTCCAAGCCTCCAATGCCAATTTGTGGGCCGTCCTTTGAACCATCATTATAGTATCGTTCACTATCTGGTGAGGATTAAACTCGAATTAAATATTTTTCTTTTCCAGAGGGTCGAATTTCTTCCTTCCCCCCACCCCCCGTCACTCGCCTGAATGCTCATTAAATCCTCGAAAAACGTGAAATTTAAGAAAGCGTCGTTCTCGGTCTTTCTTAGCGGTTTACATTCCAAGCAAGTCCCGTTCATCCATCTGGGGTATAATTTCATCTGTTCCAATAAATTCCTCCCGTTTTGCAGTATGATGTTGTAGATTTCGGCTGGGGACGGCCTTAAAACCACCTCCGAGGCTATCAGCACGGCGTCCACTTGAAACATCGGCTTCATATCCGTCAACTTTTTGTTGAAGTACTCGAGATTCTTGGTTATGCATCTGAAGTGAAATAAAGATTTGTTCGATGTGTCGTCGATCCAAAAAAGAAAAGAAAAACTCACGTTATGAAAGCGGAGAATATTTTCTTCTCGTACTTCTCGTAATACAGTTGCATGGACGCACATTTTCCGGTGTACGTGCCAAAGATCAGACTTTCCAATTTAATAAGAATGGGGCTGGTCGATCGATAAGTTACCGCCATCGAGGTTGCCAATTCGACTCTCCTAACCTGCATCTCTTGGAAGAATATCTTGCAGGGTAGCAACACTATCAACTCGTTCTCCTCGTTGTAATATTTGGTGGGAAGGGAGAAGAGATCGTAATTCTGTAATTCGTTGAATATCCTGTTGTCGAGATCGCTCTTTATGTGATTCAACTGCTCCACCAACGAGTTCAAATTTTTCAACAATATCTCGCACTCGTGAGCGTATTCGGATATATTTAAAGAGTTCCAATTGATACGCATCACTCCCGGTTGAATGTGCTTCTCGATGTCCAATAGCATGTTCTTCAACAATTCTATCTGCGTGTACAAAAGTGGATGATAATTCGTTCGTGTTACTCTAATCGTTCTTTCACCGCTGGAAAGAAGTCTCGCGGGATGGCACATAGGGGCGGTGATAGGGGAAATTTAATAGATAAACTTACGAATAAAATTATTTGGAATTTATCGTTCGAAACATGGCAATAATTGTAATTGAAAACGGATCGACTGTAGCTACGAATAAATGTTATATGTTGGTTCAAAAGTTTTAACTTTTTTGAATTAATGTCTCTGCATAGAGAGATGCTAGGATTAGTCTATCTGCACTTCTGCCTATCTGAAAAAAAATTTTTATATTACATCGACAGGTTAGAATAATTTTGAATTTTGTGCCCACGCTAATGGTTGAAACAGAAAATAGATGTTTCCTTCCAAATGAACCGTATTTTGCAAGACTTCTTTTCAGCAATGAACAGTACAAAATAAATACAAAATAAATAAACGTGTGTGTTTAACGCTCGTACATCCGCTTTATCCATTTTCTCGAGCATCGAGTTGTACTGGTCGATCAGTTTTTGCATTACTTCGAGATCGTGCCTCAACCGATTTTTCTGAATACTGGCATCTTTCACTATGGGGGACAGTTCGAAGCCTAGTTGCTCCATTAACTCGGCCTGCCGGATGGAAAGAATAACGCATGATTTTTCGATCGAGCGAGGCAACGGAATCGGAGACAAAAGATGAATATTATACCTCGTGAATGATTTCGAACAAATTCCAATCAAAGTTCACTTGGAAACGGAGCTGACACTCGATCAGAATCGAGCCGCTCATAAATTCCGTCCAAGTGATCTTGGCTATTGATGATGAGTGCCACCCTTCTCGGACGAGGTACCCGACTTTTGATCCCTGTGGGTCGAAAACCCTCCTCCTCCTCCTCCTCCTCTTCCTCCTTCTCCTCCTCCTTTGTGCCCATCCATTTTCGTCTCCTTTACCCTCGTGATTCCGGAACTACCGGTATCTTTATTCAAAAAAAAAGTGAACGATCGAACGGTTTAACGATCAACGATCGAAAAATGTGAAATTTATGGAAAGAAAATTCTTCGATTCGTCACCTATGCTCGGCTTCGACATCTCGTAGTCGCCCTTCGATTCCTGGGGAGTCGATCCGGGTGAGAGGAACTCTCTGCTCTTCCCTCTCGGATTGGGAGGAATCGAATGAACATTCTTTGCCACCGGTTTCTCGGTGATCGGGAACGGCAGTAAACCTGAAAGAACGAACGTGTTGTTAGATTAAATTCGCTCCTCGATTCGACGAATATAATACGTTTGAAACCCGACCTTTGTCAGGATCGGAACGCATCATCATCAGGATGTTCCTTCTCATCGTGTTTATCACGATTATTTGAGCTTTGTCCGTCCATTGTTGGAACTTCAATTCCTCGTACGATTTCAATTGTTTGGACAGGTCGTAGTACTGGTTGAAAGCAAGGATCTTCAGATGGTTGTACTTCAATTCCGCCACGTTTTGAATGGTCAATACCGGTTTTCTCAGGCGGTGAAACAATTGCCTCACCCAGTATATGGCGCCCGCCATCGGTGGATGATACCTCAACAACGGGGGGCTTCGTTTTCCTGAAGGAAAGTCGTTCAGAAATTAAAAATTTATCCTTTTCTTCCTTTTTTTTCTAGAAAATTTTAACTCCTCCTCCTCCTTACCTCTATTGAATATCCCCTCGACCGTGCTCACCTCCTTGCTGAATTGTTGCATCACAACATCGAACTTTTTCATCAATTGTTGATGAATGCTGGCCCTGGTCTTGATGTCCTTGAATTTCAACAACATCTCGAGGGCGGATTCCGCGCTTATCAACACGTGGAAACACTCGTCGAGGAAGAATTTCGCCTCGTTCTCGAGGAAATGGACCTCCTCGAAGAAGAGGGAGAGGGTCGCCTCCCAGTTCTCTTTGTTGAACTCGTCGAATATGTTGTAATCGGCGTCGAGTATAGGGAGGACCAATCTGTCCACCCTTTTTATCACGGTGTCGATTTGGGCCGGGTCGCTGATTATCGATTTCAGATAGGGGCCGAAAATATTGTGAAAGTCTTGGAGAACGTTGGCAATTTGGTTCAAACCGTCGCATACCGAGGCGATGTACTCGGTCCCTTGGAACAATCGTTTCTGGTCGAACTCCCAACGCTTCCCCTTCCCGGAGATCTCGATGTCCTCGCGGCTCTTCAAATATGCTTGCTTCCAGCTCCTCAACATCGTGCAAGCCCTCTCCGTCTTTTCCAGAATCTTCTCCAACGAATACCTGCAACCATCGACCGAGCATCAATGATCGTATCACTTTTCCTATTGCATTTAATTTTTTTTTTTCTCCACAAAAATAATTTCTCTTTTCAGTTTAATCAAAAAAACGTATCGAAAATCATATCCGTGTTTACGTTACTTGCCGTATATCTTGGTAAAAGACGAATCGAAAGATGGTTGAAAAAATTTAACCTCGCCGATTGTTGTTTCGTTGCTGCGATCTTTTTCTCGAGCATAATATGGCGAATATGGATATGATTTTTCGATACGCATTTTCGTTGATCGAGAAGAGAGGATTATTTTTATGGGGGAAAAAAAAAAATTAACAAACGAAACGTCCAATTTTTATAGAAAAAGAAAAAGCAGCGATAATCCAATCTACTATTAATCGGATCGGATCGAATTTTTACCTGAACAACAAGTTTATCGCTAAATTTTTGATCACGTTTTGGGATAATTGCCACGAGATTTTCTCCATCAATCCGACCATCCTCTCCTCGATGCAGTAATACGGAGACAGGACCCAAATCATTTTTATCCCTTCCATGAGAGGGGGGATGGATTGCATGATCGATTTGAAGCAACTCGACTCTGTCATCAACTGCAACGTCCAATCATTCGTTTACGATATCGATATATCGGCCATTTTCTTGTTTTCAACACCACAAATATACAGCCAGAGATATATTTCGATTCTTACCCGTCCATCGATCGTGATCCTTCTCTTACCTTGAAATGTCTCAAAACGGTGGACAAGAATCGATTGTTGTCCCTCGCTTCGGTGTAAGTTTTCCACAGGTCCGAATAAAAAAATTGAAAGTTAGAGGCGATCGTCGACATGACGTTATTCAACACGTGCAAAATCCTTTTCGCTATAGGTGTTTTCAATTGTTCCACAAGCATCAGCAATCCTATTTCTCGATCCTTCCAATAGTCGCACTCGGCTATCGGCCCTTTACTGGCCGGCACCTTCATTTGAAACGTTTCCAGCACCTGCGTTGTCCCGTTCAATCACGTTTTAATTCTTCCATTTCCATATTTCTTCTCGAATGCAAAAAAAAAAACGGGGGTAGAAGGAAGAAAAATCGTATCGTTCACACCTTTTCTATGTGTACTCCCCACAGCATAACCGTGCTTTCAAGTTGCTCGATAACCTCTTTGTTCTTTTCCAACATTTCGTCGGTAACGTTGGGATCGTCTAGTTCCGGTATATTGGGCATCGTAAGCAAGATATCGCCCTCTATGTGCTCCAACGTCCTGCAAGGAATCGTTCGAATTATTTTATTCCTTCGAATTTTTCTTTTTTTTCTTTTCTCTTTTTCCCTCTTATTCAATTGCCGTTATTCGATTTCAACCAACCATTCCACGCTGGCCGTCAATTTATCCAAAAACGACAAGAAATCGTTTTTATATTGATGCAACGATACACGTATCTCCTTCATGTGCGACACCTTGCTCACTTCCTCCTTCTCCTCCTCGAAACTCACTTCTGTAAGCTTGGGAAGCCTACGCCTCACGACCGTTGAGCGGCGCAAAACGAACTCTTCTTCCTCGTCTTCCTCCTCCAACTCGGCTATCCTAGCCAACGCTATCGACATCCTTCGAAATTCCGACGGCTTCCTGAATTGCGCACTCTGCGCTCGGACAACGAACGAAATTAGATTACGAAAAGCAAAAGGATTGTTATCGATCGTAGGAGATATTATACGCACTCGAGCCGCAACTATGTCCGTGAAACTCAGGTCCATCTCGTCGTCTCTATCCTCGTATATGTCTACGAGTTCAGGCCCTCTGAATTGTGAAACGATCAACGGTCTGAACAGCTGAGGGAAAAGAACTTTTTCACTCGGCTCGATTTTTATATCACTTTAAAGGAAAAGGAAAAGAATAAACTTCCCGCCGTTTCTAGACAGGGATAATACCTGGGTGATCATTCTGTGCATCGAAATCAAAAATTTCCCGTTAAGGGATCCGACTATGAGATAATGCGTCATTTGTTCGTCGCATTCCGTGTAAGAATCGAAACTCGGTATACCATCGTGGGTCGTCCTCATGAAGTAGAACAAAGTGACGTCTTGCAGCTCCGGCTTGCTACCGTCCACCTCGCCGCAGAACATGTGAAGTATCGGCGTCTTTCGCACCTTCTCCACCAGTTTCTAAAATTGTTACACCTCTTTTTTCCTTTCTTTTTTTTTTTTTTTTTGCAAATCCACGAGAAATAATCATATTTTTTCGTGGATGATCAGACACGCGTTGAAAAAATCTCGAACAAAGTTTTACTTTTTAACCCTTTAACTGTGGATATCTTTAATTTTTGCTAATATCGAATAGCGGTTTATATACCAGTAGTGAAATAAAAATAAAAGAAAATCTTTTAAAATAGAAATATCACTTTGGTAATATATATTTAAAATTAAAATACAACTTATTCTCATTTTATTTTTCGTATCGTTGATTATAAAATGCATGCTTTGTCGGTCGGCGTGCTTTTTATCCTATTTTATCACAAGATATTTAATTTCGTTTTCATTCGAGTTTCAAAGTATATTTTTCGTGAACTTTATATGGATAAGCCTTTTTGTTTCTTCCAATTCCTCGAGAAAAAGGCGTGTCGAGCAAAATGAATGAACAGTGACAAAATTTTAGTATGATTTGATTTTAGTAAAATATTTTTTTTCGTTTTTTTCTGTCTATTCGCAGTTAAAGGGTTAACCAATCATTACGGTCGATCCTCTCTTTTCGTATAACCTCGAATAATTTGCAATTATTAATTCGATTATTGTCACGTCTTGGACGGAATAATATTATCGAAGTAACTTTATTCGTGACTTGGAGCAAGCAGACAGAGATACCTTGGTCAGGATGTACTTGTCCTCCTCGCCAGGCGGTGGCACGAAACCAATTTCTGAGAAAAATCGAAACGAAGATATCGAGGGGAAGATTATTTATTCTCGTTAAAGATAAATCTGCCCATACAAAATTTATCGATATATATATTATACCGTGTTCCCTCTTTCTGAAATCGATCCCGTTCTCTTCCCACTCCTCCTCTTCGTAGTCCTCCTCTTCCTCCTCGTCGAAATCTTCGTCGTCGATCGTGCTTGCCACCGATTTTTCCTCCGAACGGAGAGTGATTATCGACTCCTCGAGTTGGCGCAATACAGCGAGCGGATCCATTACCGCCGTGATCGGTTTTGGCGCTTTCTTCGGTTTCCTCACTCTTTTCTTCTTCTTTTTCGGCTCTTCTTTCTTTCGCGGCTTCCCTGATACATAAATTACCCTTCGATTTGTTAAAATTTTTCGCTGCCACTTTTTGCAACCGATTGTCGCTGAATAATTAAAGCTTTCGTTTAAAATATTTAATTTTACAGTTTCTAATCAAATAACTCGTACGTGTCATGGACGGCCAGATTAATTTTATTAGGTGTGCAAATAAGTTCTATACGATCGTAACTTCCAATCGAATTCGAATCACTTCCCGCTCGTGGCGCCATCTGAAACACCGTTCTTTCGTGTTTAAGAGTTTCCAGTCCTGTGCAACGTTTCGAGCGAGATGGCGCGCGAGTAGCTTCGTTCGCGTCGCCGTTTACTTTTCGCGTTCCAGCTTAGGAGATCAACTGTTGAAGCTACCGAAACGGTCTGTGTCCGGCACTGAGAAAACGTTGTGAAAGAAGTCATAGCAAAGATTTAAATTTGGAAGAGAACAATCGTTCGTTGGTGCACCGAGAAAGTTCCAGACGCGAGAAAAATTGGCGAATATCCGACTGAAACAATTGAGTGATCTTGTATTCGATTTATGTAATAAAATCTTGAATTTGGGAAAAAAAGGAAAAGGATTTATTTGCACACGTAATAGCATAGTTTTGCAAAGTTTTGAGAATCAAATATGGCGTAGTAAAATAAAGAAGAAAGTTTCTATTTTTCGTGTATCCAACTTTCGTGTTATCGCGTGGAACGACGTCGAACGTATAAAAAAAATCGAATTGACGAATCATTACATGAATTTCTAACGCTTTAAACTTAATTTACAAAAAAAAACAATAAAAAAACTTATCTATAATTTATAATGATTCAAATTAAAACAGATGTTTCGTGACGTTATAAAATCGAAATTTTAATTTTCTTAATAAATTTACGAAATAATTCTCGACCATTGAAATGAAATCTGTCTATACACGCGTATTTTCGTTCAATCTATAAACGTTTAAAAAGACGATTTAAAATTTTAATACACACAGTCGTTACTGAATCGAAACAATTATCTTTTACACGTTTGAATTTGAATTTCATCCATTTAATATACATTATTCCTCGTTCTATGTAGCGAAAAGGTTAAAATTCGTATATATTTCGTTCTCGAACGTTCACACGCGCTTCAAAGTTTCCAAAGGATCGAAACTGTGCAAAAGCAACAAAGTGCAGAATCACCAACAATTCTCTTACTTACGACTTTTCCCTTTCACAGCTAGAGCCGTCAACGCGGCTAATTTAGCAACGCTCGGTTTGTCTGCTTGCAATCAACAATTTTTGAAGCGACACGATTACTCATTCGTATATATTTGTTCAACACGAAACAAATTAGAGGAAGGGATCACTCACTTTGCCAGACCGACACCTCCTCCTGATACTTTTCCACGGAATAGGTGCAATAGAAGAAGATTATCTTTCTCTCGAGACTCGTCACTCCGTATAGATCGAGTATCAAGAAATTCAGCATCTTGTCCTCCAAGTATCGATTGTTCGCCTGTAAAAAAATTTTTCGAGAAGAGGGGAGGAAACTCGAGAGAAATATTTTTCATCGTATTTCGGTGGAACACAATGGAAACGTTATAGGTGTATCGTTGCCGTATTTACGTTCAAAAGTTTGTAAAATTGAAGCTCGTAGCCGCGTATTCCTAAAAATTTCATCACTTTGTCCCGTATCCACATCACCCTGTGGAAAAATTAATTTAAATCTATTTCAAATTCACTTTAAAAATTCATTTTATTTCTTATATACCGATAATCCAGATGTATTATGGAAGGTCTCTCCAAATCGTACAAATCCTCGTCCTCCTCCGTGTGGGTAATTTCTTCTTCCGATTCGGTCATATTTTTCTCTCTATCCTCCAATATCAACTCGATAAAAATAACAATTCTCTATCTATAAATATATATATATATATATATGAGAACAACGTTTCCCCTCTTGACAAATATCGTTTCACGATGACGATTCTTTCGAATTCATCTTGAAAAATGACGAAGGAAAAGGTTGCGCGCACTTTAACCTAAAACTTTTGCACTTTGTCGTGAATCGATTAAACGGGCAACGAGTCACGAGCGTGGCTTGATATATCGATGTTGTCATGGCGAACAAACGATATCCAATGCGGTACGCGGAGAAGTATTCATCGCATTCTCGAGAGTTGTATCGAGATCTCGAAGCTCGGTGGGAATGGATGGGTCGAATGAAACGAAACGAAGGATTTTTCGCAATTTCGAAAGGAAATGTGTATTTAAAAATCGTCGAAACGTATGTGTGTACGCGTCGTTGTTACATAAAGTTACACAATTCTTCGATATATATTACAATATTCGTAATCGCATCTAATAGGATAAAGTTTTTCGAAACCCTCCTATTTCCTCGTCGTTCGATCGGGTTAGTTTAGAAACGGCGAGCAGCGACACGTTCGGTTTCCAATCGAATTCAATTATTCTCGATCGGTCACGATATATATCCGTTCTATACACAATAGTTACAATAGTATTTCGTCTTAAAGCCTTAAAAGGGAATATTACGAGTAATTTATATACTATATATATATATATATATATATATATATATATATACTGTA